AAAATGTGCAATGAGGGAACCACACAATTTGTCACAAAGCACAATGTAAAACCCCTTATTGGCTTCCTAGAAAAACAGTGAATTAAAATTTTAGGCAAAGTGTAGAAAAATTTTCAAAAGGTTATCAAACCCAGAAAGTCCCAGAAAAAAATTCCCCAGAACTGTTTTAATTTAAATCTGAATATGGATACAGCATAATTATGTAATGTGCATAATCACAGGTAAAAGCATGTAGACCACTTCGCAAAAGATGTGTAAACACCCCAAACATTGACCCAGGCCTAAAGGACTCCTGGACTGCCATGTGACCTGATGGCTGGTTTCTTCACATACTGTAGATGATGTTGTCATTGGTTAGTTTTGCAATAGAGCCTTAAAACAGAGACAAATGTTCCCAGACAAGAAATAACAACCAAGAAGAGAATTAAGGCCAATCACACACTGATGGTTACAGACACTTTCCCTGATTTTGTGACCCAGACTGTTGCTGTTGAGGGAGCAGACCAAGATTATGAACTTGGCCCACTTAGAACTTCAGTTGTGCTGTGGCTTAAGTGCCTCCCACAGCCCAGTGGGCCACCTACAGGTTACTGAGTTCCAGCACTGAGAAATCGATGTGAGTTCTGCAGCACCGCAGGAGAGATTGCCAGAGGAACGCATTGTCAACAGCGCAGGCCCTGAATGAGCTACAGATGCAAGTGGATGGAAGTGACATTTAAAAAAATAAAAACAGAGGTGAGTAACCAGGCATTTCTTTGTGTCTTCTGGTTGACCTGGGCTTCGAGCGTAACAACAGGGACGGGGCCTGTGGGGCTGACCTTTCAGCCTGAGGCCGGAAGAAGCGAGTTTTTCTGTTTTCTCCAGAAATCCCACCCAAAAGCCAAAGAGCTGGTGAATGTGACCTGACACTTCACCCAGATCCCAAAAGCAAGAAAGCTAAAGCAGGGTGAATGGTGGGCTGTGCTATCATGCAAGTAAGCCTTACATTGTACATGGTACTCGTACTTGTACATATGACAATAAAAGAATTGAATTGAGGTACTTTTATCAGCTAAAAGAACATGCAGTCATCAGCCATTTCAACTTGGTCTCCAGACTTGGACCACATTCTTCTTGACACAGCTTCCTCAAATCACACTGCATAACAAAGTAATAATAATGTTTGGGTGTAATACTGTCACTCACGTCTCACTGCCAGTCAGACTGCATTTGTGAGTTTCCTCCCTCAATTTTTCATAGCCTCAGGATCATCCTTCTACACACCAGACCACATCAACATTATTTTTTCAGAGCAGATCCAAGCAAAAAGTCAAAAGGATTATTTTGTGAAAAGCTCATCTAAGTTCATTTTTTGATATTTTATACTTGCAATAACCTTGCATGCAGCCTGAACACATAAATAGCTATGTGAAAGAGTCTTCATTAACAAGGGTTTCAATGTACAGTAGTAAGTCACAACATCCTTATGTAAAGTCATCTTAAAGTAATTTTATCTGCAGGAGAAACACCTCATGGGGCCCATATAAGAAGGCTGAGTTTATGGTCATATGCTTTCTAGGAGTCACATTATCTGGTGCAGATGCATCATGGGAGCTGAGTCCACGTGATCTAAATACAGCGTGACGGAAGTGGAGAATGTGACCGAGGCATGGCACCTGCATTTGCACCCTGGAATCTGGTTTCCTGAGCGCAGATAGCAGCGATGCATCCTCTCTCTGTCTCTTTTCAAAGGGAATGAGGCTCAGTTTGAACAGACACTACAGAATTACTGCACTAGGAGATGTGCACAGTCTGCATCTTGTGCGATAAAAGAACTCAGAAGAAAAGCTTCAGGGTTTCTTACAGTGTCTTTTGTTAACGAGTGGGCTGTGCTATTCTACCATTAGTGTTCTGTTTTAAATCAAATAACTTTGTGAGACCATCATAACAAAAAATGATCTCAGATGCTGAATCTCATTTCAGTACAGTGCGGGTAGGTTTAAATAGTCTTAATAAATGACAACACATTTAGCATTTTGAGACTTTCAACTTTCAACTTTTAAGATCACATAAAGATTGAGGCATGAGCACAGAAGCTCCTGGTATGTATTCAGATCTGCCTCTTATTTGCATATGTGAGAAATTCTGCAGAATGGGGCTCACTGCTTCATGATGCACCTTCTCCCTGATGTACATGTCGATATTTCCATATGGGGGCACCCTTAAAGGCAGGACTGGAGCCCAGAGACCATGCTTCAGCTCCCTGCTCTAGGCTTTGTTAGTCGTCATTCTTTTTTTGGGATGTGATGAGCAAGTCCGCATGTGTACCACAGGAGAATAGAACAATATCGCTTATTTACATTGTGAATGAGACGCTCCTTTGTCAAAAGTGAGGGGACAACGGGGTCATGAAAACAGAGCAGAGTGAGTAAAGTGTGAGTAAAGTGTGAGTTTTAAGGAGTGTATACACTCATCTATGTTGGTGCTCACTCACTTGCTTTGGATACACAGGACAGACAAAGGCCAGTCAAAATGGGGCTTAATGACATGACAAACACTGACATTCATATTAGAGTATATGAACATTTTACAATGTGGTACTTTATTAACTTAGTAGTAACTCAATTACTACTCAACTACAAATCATTAACAGATACAGGTGATACTTGAGAGAAAAGATTCATTAATGAAGAATAAACCTAATAGATAAGTAGTGGTACGTTCCCATGTCTCTTTTTTAACTGACCAAACCTACTTATTGGTTCATTAGAATCATAATTGCCAATATCTTCTCAAAAGTCAGCTTTATTTATATAGCACTTTAACAACAGCACTTGTTGACCAAAGTGCTTACATAAATCATGAAATCACAACATGATATCAAGGCATAAGACCAACATAAAACACAGACACACAATCAGCTCCGCAGTACATTCGACTCTCCTCAAATGCTAATGAAAGCAGGCGAATTTTAAGTGTAGATTTAAAGACTAAAAGGAGCCACTTTTAAACTTGAACAAATCTAGTGTAACAATTCTCATACAAAGTCACAGAGGTCCCTTTTCTCACCACCCAGTGGGAATCTGGTCACACCATTAATTAATTATAACTTGAAATGACTTTGCACCCTCAAAACGATCCACCATGCAGCTGGGTTTAACTGGCAGTTAGCCAGTCTGCTGGTTTCACTCATATGCCATCAGCTATTCGGCTTCAACCATGCCAGTGCAACACTGCTCGCAGTTATAAGGATAAGTTTGCGAAATAAGTGAGTTCTAAGGATACATGAAGTACCAAACAGCAAACGGGAACAAAGATGCCATCTTAAGAGAAATGAATTTGAATCCAAGTATACAGCATTCTGCATTTGCCGCATGCAGTATCTGCATACAAGTGAATCACATTTTCTACTATTCTTTAATGCTATAAGACACATACGTGCCTATGCCTGAGATTACACAGCACACCCTCGCCCTATCATGCACACAAAGCACTCGTAGAGGGACAGGTGAGAGGCTTAGGTGCAGAAAGTAACGGGCATCACCCCTTGCTGGATGCACCTGGCCTCAGCCCGCTGGCCATCCGTATGTTTAGTCACTCTGGCGTCGGTGGGACAAGCTGTCACACGTACATGGTGACCTTCAGGATGGACGCTGATGGCCCTCGGCCCACAGTAACTGCTCTCTCAGCATTGTCGCTCCTCATATAGCAGTACAATGTGCACAAGCCGTCTAATGTTACCTGCATTATCTATGTGTTAATTGGTGCAAAAACATTTTGCAGTCCGCCATTTATCATGTGCAGTTAAATTACAGAAGGATAATATGCTGTTTATCCTGTATAAATATACTTTAGTAAACTGTTACTTTTAACAGTTTAAACGTTAAGGTTTAGTCTTTTTATATTTAAATTGATTGTAGCATTTTTATCTGTTCTGGCTTGGCACCCTGTCCTGGTTTATTCCCAGCCTTGTGCCAGTAGCTTCCGGAATAGGCCTCAGACCGCCGCAAATTTACATAAGACAAGTTGGTATAAAAAATGGATGGACGGATGGACTATAATATTTTTCACAATTTTTTAAGTATAGTATTTTAATCAGTTTAAACTTGCAAGCCTTTTGAATGTTGCACTGCTATTCTTCAAATGAAGTAAAATTATTATCAATAATAAGGCAACAGATTGATAATATTCATACCCTGACTGCGTTCACATTGAGTAAAAGCGGTTTGCTTCAGTTAAGATACATGCTGGAAGGCCGAAGCCTCACATCATCCCCATAGTCTGGCCACAGGGTCCATATTCAGAAGTCAGGCGATGCCACTGACTGTTTAAGAGATTAAGCCTAATTTAAAGGTAAACACAACTTTAATCTGTGCAGTTTCCGATTTTCCTCTAGTGCCTTGTGTTCCCAGTGAAAGTCGCATGTAGCGTTGATGCAGTGAGTATGTCGCTCACTTAGCAAGTTTCCTCTTTTTATACAGAAACTCTCTGAACCTCCTGCCAGCCTCACGATTTCCACAGCTCACGGCAATATTCTTACAACACCAGCCCTGACTTTGTGCCACGAGTGCCTTCGTTCATGCACTTTAATCATCGATCCATTTTTCTCACCTCAAAGGAAGACGACAATGCTATTTAAAAAGATAACCAGACGCTACAATTGGCAAATTGAGACGATTCATCATCAATTTGGGAAGATGCAAGTGAAATTGACTTATTGATTTAATCATGAATTCCTACACAATTGGGGTAATTTTAATAGTGGCAGATGGAAGTATATATGTATGCTTCTGGAGGCTGCCAGAAGAACGAGCAGAAAACTGCAGCTGACATGCAGCTCCTGTGAGGTCAGCACACCTGTGTGGCACAACAGACCCCCATGTGACTAGACCAAAGAAAACCCACTGGGGTCTGCAGGAGCATGCAGCGTTTCAGGGGAGTGTGTCAACCTAGGCAAAGGCGGGTGAAAACATCTCCCTCTGCCATGCAGGACCCAGGGGAATGGATAAAACATCACTCACCTCCTGCCAAAGAGACGCAGTCCCGTGAAGGTTTTAGTGGTGTGGTGATGGGCCACGACCGGCAGTTCTCCCTCCACGGGGAGGGAGGACGGCAGGTCTGAGGTGGAGGAGGAGGAGGAGGTGGTGGAGGAGATGAGCTCCTCAGTGGCTGGCAGGGGCACCTGGCTGAAACAAGCCCCCGCATCCTGCTGTTGCTGCTGCTCCATGGCAGGTTCTAGGCGCCTCGATGCCGCCCGGTCCCGTAGGTGCACTGCTCAGTCCCAAGGCAGTTTCTGAAGTTACAAAGTCCTCATACTTGGGAGCACATAGCCATAAAAACCACTAGCAGCGAGCCATGCTATTTTCTCTCCTTCCTCGGGAAAAAAAAAAACACAAAAAAAGGAAATCAAAGGCTCTTTTTGCGCCTGTTAGCGTACAGCCTGCAGCTGGGGGGAGAGGTGTTATGGTACAGCCCCTGCATTCCCAGCCCCCTGTCCCCGCTACTCCATACAGGAAGCGGAGCCTCACTGCAGCATTCAAACCAAACTTACATCATGAGCTGTGTGGAAGCAGCAGCCAGGCAGGGCAACCCTTTTCCTGCTCTCCTTGCTCACTTCCCCCTCTGGGCACATCTGCCCAAGCCTGTCTTTCCCCCAGCGCTCACAGCTCCCGGTCCCTGCCTGCTCCTTGGCTTCCTTCCTATGGGATTGTAATGATCCAGGAAGTGTCAGACTCAGATGAGGCACAAACAGGACCCAAACATAGGTGCCTCTCAATTTGCCTTTCACAGCATATGGCTTGATCTCATAGCTTCTCCTGCTCACAAGCATACTCTCTCGCTCTCTTTCTCTCTCTCTCTCCCTCCTCCCCTTCACGCACACTAGCTTTTTCTCTTTGCACTCTCGTCCTTCTGTCTGCACTCACTCTCTCTCTCTTCCACAAAGCACATTGGTCTGAAGTATGCAGCAGACACACTGCCACCTGCTGGTGGTGCATCAGAAGTGCTGGAGCTGTGCAGAGTAAGAAGCACATCATGGAGTGTAGGAGTGCTCAGTAAGTTACACTATAAGAACACAACCAGGAACTCCGCATGTCTCAAAAGACAATGCTTAACTTTCTAGACTTTGATTTCTTTAACAAGAGGTCAAATTACTGGTCCAAATACATAACCATCTCCATTAAATCAGCCAGGATGTGCATTTCCTTTTTGTTCTGGAGCTTGGACTGTGTTGGAGGGTCTGTATCGTGAGTGCAAACAGGCCTGACAGGAGACATGGACCTTCACGGAAGCTGCACCCACTCTGGCAGTGGAGGGAGGCCACACGCATTCATCTGCGGAGCTGCACTTCTTGCGGATCGTTTCTGAATCACACTTCGTCCTCCCGAGTCACTTTCAAGTGCTGCACAATTTCAACCATGCAACACATTTGAGTTTTCCACCCACACGCGCCTTACATAAAGAAGGTTTAAAAGTCCTCACAGCTCCACCCACTGTCTTCACTCACATGAGAGCACTGCAAAATGGACAGGTTCTGGGTGTCAGAGAGGTATGCCAGCCACTGGGCCACTGTTAGATCCTGTATATGCTGATCTCTATGACAGGAGGCAGTACAAACCAGTGTTGGGGCCATTCTGGAATGTATTTATCAATTCCAGTCCAAATCAGGAACATTCAGGTAGCACTTCTCTCATGAATACTAATGAGTTTTTGCATTCATCAGCCAATTAGATGGCACTTCCCTTATGAATATTAATGAGTTTCCCCTAACCACCCTGCAAAACGAACATTTGTGTCTGGGGAAACCTGTACATATGGTAATCTTACAGTTAACTCTCGTTTTACAATCTACACACAATAGACACAACATACTTGTATACAAGTCTTTTTCGGCAAAAGGTAAATGACACGATTCACTGATCACACAGAAACAAAGATACCGTGACAAAATGCCAATGGTTTCCGGAAATTGCCGTCACTCCTGGGCAGAATGACATGTAGGGATATGCACATTGTTGAATTTTTAAAGTAAACGTGAGAACGAATCTGGCAAACGCTATATGATGATACTGTGTGGCTGCCATATATCGAAAATTTGTGCCTTTTACTTCACTTGGCATTCCACTCTAACTTGCCACACTGGGTCTTATGGGTTGCAGCTCTAAACCCAGACAAACTGCTAATTTTTGTGCCCGGATAGGAGCCCAAAAAGCGAACATGTCCGGGGAAAGCTGGACATATGGTAACCCTCGTTTCAGGGAGCCAAAGCACCGAGGATCCTGTATGGGTCATTTTTAAAAGACTTATCTCTCCCAATTAAACACTAAAATCTCTGTCATGGAGCACAAACTTTAAATTTTTTAAGCCAAATTTAAATTCCACCTGCCATAGTATTTAGTTCTTCTCTGCTTCTTTTTTCTCCGTAATATGGCACACTGTGACATAGCTAATAAATGAGCGGTTCTGTTCCTTCCAAGTGCATCGCCGTGCCTGGTGATGCGTCGTTTTCCTACAGAGCGGAAAGCTCAGTGCTGCCTTTGTGGGAGACATAACAAAAGATGCACACAAATCGTATGCTCGGCTCATTCGTTTTGATCTTTGCGGCCAGGAACAGAAACAAGCATCGAAATTTATCTATTCCTTGCTGCTGCAGCCAATATTAATTAGCTGAACCAAATCTGCAGGCCACATGCAAAGGAGGATCAAGCAGGCTAGCTACTGTATAATGCTCAAACGATAATGCTGATAATGATGTTAACCCTAACACTTCACTAATAAAAAGCCATGTCATGCTTTTAGGCAAAGACTTTTACATCTTTTTCAGTATTCTTATCTACCACTGACTGATTTTACTGACACAATTCAGAGGACCTGCCTGTATCAGCAATCTCCTTTTGGCAACTGGGGAAATATTAGATTGAATCAACCAACAGGTACTGAGCAAATGTGCAAAAGTGGAATACCACAAATTGCATCGGAACAAATTATGTGACAGCCAAAGCAGGGTTTTAATAAACTGCCTACAAAAGCAGTTTCAGTTGCTGGCTGAACCAGAATATTTCCACACAGCATGAGAAGGTATTCACTAGAATGGAAGTAGAACATATCATCAGATGCATAATGTACTTCCATCAATAGATACAGAACAGTACAGCAGGACAAAATGAAACAAAAGCAATTTAAAAAAAGCTAAATTCTGCAGAGAATATTTCCAGTTGTAGCTTTGCAGAAGTTACTGCAATTTTACACATCCTCCTACATAACAATGCTTAATTTTACAGTTGCTAGATATTCTGTACCAAATACAAAGTAGCACGCTGGCCCTTTAATGACTGGTCGGGTGCCAAGGAGCTTCAATTTCCATATACATCTCAGGGGCTCCACATTGCCATGGCAGCCGGACGTACCCAGACAGACGGATCATCTGTGGGCCACTGCACATGGGCTGATCCATAACGTCCAGGTCATTGGCCAGTGATGTGCTTTTGAGGCACCGAAAACTCTTTACTTCCGTAACTAGTACTGCAATTAATGTGCAGTGTCTTCAGTTGGAGGAAGAAAATGTCTGTGTTTCTTCACCTGTGTTTACAGCATCCCCAAAGCATGAGTCTGCTGTGACACAGGGAGACGCCTAAGGCAGTGGCCTCCTTAATAATGCAGTGCACCGCCAGATCATGTGCGAAGAGTGAAAGGGATCCTGGCCCCATCTCTGATCCCATCTGCCTGAAGGAGGCGTGAGTCAGCGCGGAGCAGTCTGAGCTGACGCACCCATAGCTTTCACCTGGGGCTGCTCTGTCCAAGCAGGTTGCCGAGTGACATCAGATGACTCACCTGCTGTCTCAAATGACATTCCATCAGTTGACTCAGAATATGTCCATGGCCCTTTCCAAAATAAGTGGTTTCAAGATGGATGGATGGAGAATGGTTCGCTGGTGAGTATTAACGTTGCTGACTGGGATAGTGATTTACTGTATGGTGATTAGTGAAATGGGGGGACTGATCAGAACAGATGGCCAAATGAACAGCTTAACGCCCACGGTCTAAACAATCAATTAAACCAGTCTTTAGTAAATTATTCACTAAGTTATTTACTACCACTTACAACTTTACCCTGTTACAAACATCCACCTACCTAGATAGTCAATTTACAATTGCTTTCATGTTTTTAAAAACCTTTTCACTTGAGCTTACAAGCGTATTCTCACTTGTCCTTCCAACAAAAACATTATATACTTGGTGGCCATTTTATTATGTGTTATTTTATTCCTTTAAAAGTTGCAACTGAATCCAGACAACAGACACACACAATCAGCAGGTTCAATTGTTCTTCATCTAAGCATTATAATGGTTGAGATACTTGATCTCGGTGATTTTAAACGAGGTGCGATTATTGGTGCCATACATGGTGGTTCCAGCATCTCAGAAACAGCCACACTCCTGGGATTTTCTGGGAGTATACATTTTACAATGAACAAAAAATGGCATTTCTGTAATTAAGAACTCCTTTGCAATGAGATAAGTTGGAGAAATTACTTATGTTCAGTTCTGTATACAGTGGTACCTTGGTATACATCCACTTTGGAATAAGTCCAACTTCGTATAAGTCCTGCTTGGACGCGAAAAATTTTGCTTGGTATACGACCTTTGTTTGGAATACGACTCGCGTGCTAGAACTTGTATGGGTCAAAATCAGTCAGGACACCGAGCGCTGACCTTGTTTACTTCTCTGGAGACAAAGCCAGGACTGCCCACCAGCGTCAGTACGCCAGTTGCTCCCATTCAGTGAACAACCCGCACTATAATTCTCTTTTCATTTATTTTGTCTAATTGCTTTTGTATTTATGTATTTTAGTAATAAGCAATAAGTGTTAAGTTTAAATTATTTTATACAACCCCATCAATGTATAACATGCCAATAACAATCAGATTTTTTTCATAGGAATGGATTAATCATTTTACCTTTGTTTCTTATGGGAAAAATTCATTTGGTATACGTCCTGTTTGGTATAGGTCCAAGGATCTGGAATGGATTAAGGACGTATACCGAGGTACCACTGTACGTGTTTTTTTATTTCTTGCATTTCCAGAAAATATATAATAAATGTGAAAAAATAAACCAAGTTTCCAGCAAATGTATTCAAATATCTGACTGGTGCTGCACATAAAGGAACAAATTTTTAACCAAAATAAATTCATTTGTGTTAACAGAGAAAATAAAGGTTATGCACGTATGGGACTGGAAAGGGAGACAGAAAGATAATCATTCTGAGAAGACGGGACACAGATCCCCCCCACAGGTGGTCAGGGCAGACCCGCTGCTGTAAGATATGACAGCGGATTTAAGGGTCTCATGCGGAGCCTGTTTGAGGCACAGTCAGGACACCCCGTTGGGGATTTTTTGTGCCTCATTGGTTTGTCTGCCTCTGTAGTCAGGTCACAGATAGAATTCATTACTCACTTTGCATACAAATGTCCACTAAAGAAATATTATGAGCAAATACATACTTTTAAGCACAAAAAATAACCTGCTTCTCTGCAAAACTGCATTTTGCTCTGCATTAGAATGTCCGATTCCCTAATGTACAGTTACTTTTTTTTATCGCTCAGGCCAGCGACAATCTTCTACCTTGACTAACATCCAGACCAGGGAACAGGTAAACAGGGAAGGAGGGTCCCTTACTGAATACCTCTTACACTGTCTTGCCCAATCGGGAAGGAAGTGATGTCACCGGAGACGCAGTGCAAACAATAACAGCTCGGCCACAAACCGCGGGCTGCTTCCTGCCATTCTTCTATTAGCTGAATTTCCACTCCTGTGTTTTCTGAGTTATGCACAGAACAAAGCCTCAGTGAAAGGATACACAGAAAAAGTTTTCCAAAAAACAAAAATGAGCCACAATGCCAGTATCTCTCCTAACATCACATATGGCTTTGAGTAATTTATGAAATGAGCTTAATCTGGCTACATTAATTAAACCTCAGGTAAACTGGAATTACTGGAAAGCATACAGTAGCAAGTCTGACAGTCCTGCGGAGGCACACTTCTGCTTACGCCACTGCTGAAAATACC